TTTTTTTTCTGAGTCCAAGAAGGTCAAACCAAGAACTTGGAAGATGTTAATTCAATACTTTTAGCGTTACCCGGAAACAACGACGTGGACGTAGTAAGTTCTGTTTCCTTTGGGGTGCTTGATTATCGTGAGTCCCCTTGCTTCTCACATCTGGGGTGCTTGATTATCGTGAGTCCCCTTGCCTCTCATCATAACTGCAATTTATCATAATTACAAACGGAGTAACTGTTCAAAGTTGCCTCCGTTTGCTTCAAGGCACAAATTTAAACGTCGTTCAAAATTTCTCACTGTTGAAAGCAAAGTGTCTCTAGGAATGGCTGCGCAAGCTCTACGAATTCGTTCCATCATATCTTCCTTTGTTGTAGTCCGTTGAGCAAAAACAACATCTTTATAATTATGATAAATTGCAGTTAAATAAATAAATTGCAGTTAAATAAATAAATTATACATATATATTAACAAAATATTTTGTGGATTGTGTGTTTAAGTATTCGTATAACTTTGCACAACGTTTACATTAACGATCGAAAAATATTAAGTATAATATAAATTCATAAATTCATAGAGATCAGCACTTCTGGACTAGAATGGCTTGAGTAATAATTTTGTTCTGCTTTAACTTTCTTGATCGAGCAGTTAGCGTGATTCCGAAACCTTACACGCTCGCGAGAATACTGAATAAAGAGTTAAGGGCAAGCATCGCGGGAGTGTTCTAACATTTTACGACCCTTTGGGGATCAATTAAGAAGAATAAACTGTAAAGCGCGATTCTCTCTCGCACTGCCATTAAATAACGCCGAAAGTTGCCACATCATCCCTTTTCCGGTGTGTTCACATTACGATATCTCAGATTCCCCTCCTTCTAACTTTCCTTCTCCCAAAGCATAAAAGATATCCGACACGTACAGCCGCAACTTGCAGAGCACCACAATGGGTTGTGAAACCCTCATAGGGAAACCCACCTTTCCCACCGAAAGCTGGACCGCGAACGGTAAAGCTTCCTCGAATGAAAGCCTTGCGACCGACGCTATTGTGTCTAACGTTTTCTAAAGCGAGACTTGTTATACAAGATATTCGTCACGCGACGAAGACCGAAGCCCTTTAATGCATTATAAAGCCGTCGTCGACAGTCGATTGACGGTGTGATTGTTTCAATTGCTTTCGCTCTCTTTGTCGTTCTTTCACGCAATCGACCGAAAACTAGCGTAGATAATGATTAATTTGGCTTGTAAACGACGTATCCTTTTCGATACCAATAGACGAGTTCGGACGATTTTCTTTGACATATCTATGGTCACTTTATGTGGAAAGCATATTTTGAATATCATGAGCAAATTAAAGACTAATTTCTATTCCTTTTTTGTTTATAAGCGCCAAGCTATGGTCAGTTAAACCGTTTCAGTATGGGCCTTTATTGGATTCTTGTTAACGAAATCTTGATAGATTGGTCCCACTACAAGACGCGGATATTGATTTTTCTCACATCTGAAAATCTCGTGCAAACGTGTTGCAGCTCGTCTCAAAGATAGATTCGTTATCGTGTCTAAGAGAAGCCTTCCGTCTCGTGAATTTCTCACACTGACGTAAATACGGACGCACAGCTATCGGCAAACAGTTGCCATCGCTCAGATAACAATCGTTATTGTACACAGAAGGAAAAAAGAAACAAAGATTAATTTCCAGCTTTTATCTACGTGCGTCAGTGCGAGGTAAGTAAGTAGCCAGATATAAACGTGTCGGTTCGACTGATTATGATCGCGATAATACAGATAATATTCAATAATTGATATCATTTATCCGTAGGATGATAAATAACGCGTGTGTACTTCGAAATGCTGGCGATGTCGAGAATGCATATTATCCGTCGTGAATGGGCATTTTATTGAAAGCATTATTATCGACACCGCAACGATTCGAGACGGCAACTTATATTGCACACGATTTATACGTCATTGAGAGCCTCGCACAAAGGTCAATATTAAAAAAGGTGCGAAGGGATGTGCCGGGGATTCTCGATTTTATTTATCGCCGCACTAAATGGCCCGATTTGATCTCGGCCGTTCCATCGGCTTTAAATCTGCATCAATTTGTTCTTTCAACGGAATTCGACCTCATTCGTTATTAAAGCTCTTTCCGCGCCTTACTCAGCACGCTCGGAAATAGTTCGGCGAAATTTTTATTTTGCAAACGGATCTTCCATCAGTCGTCTATGATTCGCGTATCTACAATTCGCAGGTGCGACACATACACGCAAGGGTTATTCAATCGAGCACGCAGTTTAGTTTAAACGGTTATCGTTATCGATCGCGCGCGCGCGTTGCCAATTATCAAAATATCATTATCAGCGAGTGAAATTCTATTGACGGCGTTTAACGAGCCGATGATGCGGTCACTGATTTGCAGACAGTGGCGACTCGATCATCGACATTCCTTGGTATCGATTTGCGATTAAAATCGGTGACTATCGGCGCGATAACAGGCATGTAGGACTTTGAATCCACACGCGATCGCGGAATATATTATTCGTATTACACACGCATATGAAATTCCCGGGCGTTGTGCGAAATAAAGGACGTACGTGGAACGCGCTGACAAATACCGCGATAACGTGCAAAATGCGAAATAGCCTTAGATCGTGGTTGGATCCTGCATTCCTGAAACTCGCCATTTTCAGGATAGTAGAAGGAAAGAAATATAGACCCGCATCTTACTCTTGGACATGTATCAAGATTGCTGCTCTACGCAAATAACAACGGGAGAAATAACGGTATGGCTCTCCTTTCTTCGTATATATCTCTTAGGACCGGTTTTTCAATGATAATTTAAACTTAGATTTCAACTTAAATTCTATTTAAACAAAACAAACGCATTGTTCGAATAGAGTTTAAACTTGAATCCAAGTTTAAACTATCATTGAAAAATCGGCCTTTAGAATTATATCTTAGAACTTAAGATATCCCTTTCCTCAAGTAGCTTCCCGGATAACATGCATGTCTAAAAAATGTCAAAAAGATATCTAAAAGACATATTATGCAACATTTTGTCATTTAGAATCAAGATGTCATTTTAGACATGCATGTTATCTGGGTTGCAGGTCCTCGATAGGTCGCGTTTATTTAATACGCAGAGCCCAAAACAAACTCTGCTTTGGCTTTTAACGAATGCGAGAGAGATAACACGATCGCGAGAAATTATCAATTGCTAAACTTCAAGTTTAAGATACCTAAGCCCTTGTCCACAACCTTGCTTTAAGACGTAAGCCGTAAGAAATTGACCAACCATGATTGGTTTTTAGAAGAATAATGGACTTAGTTGTTAGTCAATTTCTTATGGTTTGTCTTAAAACAAGGTTGTGAACAAGGGCTAACGTAGGCCGAATCAGCGCGGTCGAGGCCCAAAAGAGCGAAAGAGAAGAAGAGAGAAAGAGAGAGAGAGAGCGAAAGAGAAGAGAAGAGAAGAGAGAGAGAGAGAGAGAAATAACGGCGAAAGAAGAGTCAACGTTATTCGCTCACCTAGTATAAGTAGAGTCAGGTCAGATATGGCCAGACTGAAGAGGTAGTAATTAGTAGCGGTCTGCATGGAGGCGTTTCTGATGATGACGATGCACGTGGTAACATTGCCGAAGATCCCAGTCACGAAGACCGCCACATAAACGATCGTGAGCGGTATCACCATCTTCATGGGCAAATGCTTCGGCCCGAGCACCCTGTCCAAGTACTCGGCCTCGGTCAAGTTAGTCAGGTCCCAGTCCCACCAGAAATCGAACACGTGGCTGTCGCCGTTCCACGTCTCCATGACGGAGTCCTCGCGAGGGTGCATTGTCTGTCACACGTTCATTCGATTCATCGTGATCCACGATACTTTCCTCAGCTCACGCGCGTATGCACAGTGAGATATCGTCTCGATATCGCGCACGCAAACAAAGAGCACTCGATAATCCAGCGAGTTGGTAAACCTTCTTCTTCTTCTAATCCGTCTTGTTAATAGGTCAATGGGTACTCCGGGCGAGATCTTCTTCAGCTTTCCCGTCTCGGAGGACCTTTCCCGAGGACAACGGAAGGAAATCGTAAAACGAATGAGCCAGTCTACTTATGCGACCTTCTCGCTCGCCCGTCAGATCTTGCGACGGTATGCGAAAGTGATTGCATTCTGGATACCTGATGAGCGCGATGTTCGTATTGCCCTTTTGAGAGCAATCTAACGAAGCGATGAGCAGAGCTGGATAACAAAAGTGTGCGCTCGTTCTCTGCCGTCCTCCGACAAGATGAAAGTGTCCCTCGTCCTTAGGAGAGACACCCGTTCGTACTAAAATCAATTGTGTCGCATTTGATGGTTGACTAAAGCTCCAGGAGATGTACTTGAATTAGCGATTGGAGGAAGCTCTTAGTCGCCGCTAAAATATTTACGTCGCGCTTCTCAGCCGGTCGATTATTACGTCAAGTTATATCGCGCACCACCGTAAAACTTCCACCTTTCGTTCCTCTGTTTTTAAATGTCTGAATTTCGGCGAGCATAGCGCGACAACTGACAGCTATCGCATTCCGTGCCTGATCGGCGTAAACAAAATCAGGAACGTTCCAGTGTTGTAGAGACAGTACTCTGTTTACAGTTCAACACTCGCGAGACATCGATCATCGTCGATCACTCGATAAGCAAAAACGAGATTTTGTCATTTCGGGAGACATACGTGACTTTATGGATTACGAGGTAACCCACTGATGTTGCCTCGTCCTGTCAGTCGGCGCTGACGAATCGAATTATCCAGATAGACACTCACATCGAAAAAGAAGATATTAAGTCAACGAACCGTCATTCACGATAGAACGTCTCGCACAAACTGAGCGCGATGCTCTCGGCGATATCATCGCTGACACCTGTTCGACTACTCCGTTCGCAGATCCCGCTGATAGAGAAGTTCTTTCTCTCGTATCGCGCCATTGTCAGAGATCAAGTTGGTCTTTAATTACGATCGCGTGGAGCCTCAGAAACTCGAGGCTGATAAGTGTTTGTTACACTCACTAAATTTCTTGGAGTCTCACTCAAAACGAGTAAAGTCACTCGAAAAAATATTTTGCTGCTTCACATAGAATTCTAAGTGTCGCAATTAAAATTTGTGTCGCAGTTTTTTGTACTTACTAGAAAATTGCCTGTGCTACGTAGAATTTACAGTAGTAGTATTCTAGCAATATTAGATGAGTTTGAATAGAATCCTTCAAATAAGAGTTTAGATAACGTTTGATTTTTTATCGAAAATGGCGACCGCATTTCTCTTACTTATCAAGAGGGTGTCGGCTCGAGTTTAAAAGAAACTTAAAAAAAATTTTTCTATACATTTATTTGTAATATTATCGGTAAAAAATATATCTTTTAAAATTTCTAAGAAATTAATTTTTTCCACATTCATCTACTATCATAAAATAACAATTTTTTATGCAGAAAATTAATAAAAAATTTATTATTTCTGCGTTTTATCATCTTTTATATATTTTTAGTTTGCAAGAAGAAAAACTTTCTATGTTATATTTCATAAAAGTAACTTTTTTTTTTATGAAAACACGTTCTTCGCAACACTGTGTGTTTGTTGTTGTTTCGCCACAGACTTCGTGCACGTTCTCGAGTCTCGAGAAAAGTGTTTTCCACCAACAAATTTTCGCGGCATCGTGGTAATATCCATACAATACTTTTTTCTCGTGGTTGGCACTTATTTTGAAATTTTCTTGAAGTCGTTCTCGCACGAGTCTTCCGAGCAATATATAAACGATATTTGAGGTGAAGTTTTCGTAACAGGTTTATTTAACTTGCTGTCAGGCGTGATGAAGTTTTAGCCGGATAATTTAATGCTCTCAGTGAATCGTAAAGTTTTCAAACCTGCCCTCGTGTACTGAAAATTCTCCGTGGAAAATCGTCGTTCTTATAAACGCCATTATTACGGTTTACTTACTGGTGGCTAAATTGTATCTTAAATGACAGGAAATTACATCGTTTAACACGCGACGATTATTCATCGTGTATTAACTCAATGTACATCCTTCATCGTGTATTAACTCAATGATACATCCTTCTTACTTTTAAAGGATTATAATGGCGACTATGAATATGTGCGAAGCTCGTTTGAGGACAATGTAAAACAGGCGAAGAACACATTTTTTGTGTCAGAAAAATATGAGTTAATTTCATGCTTGTCGTATGACAAATAAATAATTGCAACGAATATCCAGCTTGAACCATGACACCGTTTTACTCGTGACATCTGCAATATTGTGGTCTTCCCTCTTTTTTGCTTTTTGTAATACATTTAAAATTTTCGGAAAAGCCGGCCAACTGTGATTTTCTAGGGCACGCGAAAAATTCTTTCGTCAGTTTAAATGAAAAAAATATAATAGAATAAAACATAATTAAGTAAATTTACAGACGTGGCGGAAACTTAGAAAAGTTGCTATTACAGTAATTGTCAATATATATAAAATAGATAAAAACGATCCAAAAATCAATTGTATAATTATTACTTCATCTGTGTCGTTTGCCAAATAGTACGAGACGCTTCAAGATCGTTCTGAAGATATTCAAGATATTCTAAGTACATTCACTGAATGATGAAAAGACGTCTCGTGTTATTTCGATTGTTCGTTTACGATTTATTAAACGATTAACTTTTACGATTAACTTTTTACGTGAATCACAATGAATTTGCTAGTAAGCAATGCAAATAGAGGTGTTGTCGTATGATGCGATAACTGAAAACGTCTTCGCCGCCAAATCACTTTCTTGCACATAGCAGGATCTCGCGAAACGGTCTCACTTACCTGCACTTGCGCAACATTACCTTTCTACTTACATTTATTCACGTCAAGACGATTCAGTTGAACTGCCAGTATATCATCGCCTTATCTACGCCGATGTGACTTCTTAAACTCAAATAAATCGTTTTTGCTGCGCCGCTAACGTCTTTTCTGTCTGAGTCGCGACGGCAGTCTTCGCGCGTCATTCTATACGCGGCGCGTAACTCCCGTCGCGCTCACGACGTACGTTTTATGAGCTATTTATGCGACACTTACGTTCGATATTCTACATTTCTCCTTTTTAAATGCAACTGGAAAAGAAAGATAAGATTTTTCTCCCCTTCATTTTTTCGCAAAAATACTTACCGAGAATGGAAATATCTTTCAAGGAGAAAGAAGAGCAAAGCAGCAGTCTTATCAGCATCTTATTTCGTTGTGCCACGCGCGTCTCAGGAAATATTGGAAATACTGAATATGTTTTTATCCTGTATATCTACGAAATGCAAATGGCTCTGCGAGAAAATGCATTTTATTAATATCACGCTTTTGGCTCACGTATCGGTTTCTGCCCGACTCAAAGTTTTTCCACGAATGTGGAATGTGGTCGACCACATTAAAGAAAATAACAAAGGAAATAACAAAGTTTAAATCAAGTTTATTAAACATTTTATTAAAAATAGATGTTTCCGGGATTAATTGGCGAGCTTGGAAATCTTGTGCGAAGAGAATTATATTATTTTCGCGAAAAAATCGCGTATGTAAATTTCCTCAAATGGTAATAAAGCGTGGCGTTAAAATGCACCGAAGACATGAACATCGCCAAGGCAGTTCCAATTATATACGATCAATACGAGAGACAACTTTTCTCAGCTCTTCCATCAAAAGAAAGAGCGAGCTGCGTCAGGCATACGAGTGCTCTCCGGATTTCTGAAAATTTTCCTCTGCGACTACCCTTGATTTCAATTTCTCGCCTCTTTTCAACTCGGCGTTCTTCTCGAGTTCTCTCCCACGCTTTGGAGGGTAGACGAATAGTCTCGCTCTGCATATTTGCGAGGAAATAATAGCTTTATAGCTACCCGATAACATCAAGTGCCTTGATCGAAAGCAATAAAGGAATTTTAAGGAGCAATAGGATGAAGCGGTCGCTCATAGATCATTAAAGAACACTTTGGCTCACGTAACGTGAGCGAGTAAATTTTAAGGATCCACATATTTTTCGACTATGTCGCGTCGTTTTTTTTTAAGTGCAAATTCCGACGTAAGTAATTGCTCTCATCTGAGCGAGAATGGTACTGAAAATTGCTATCCTAAATTAATGAACATTCTATACAATAACGCGCTAGTAGAATTATATCCGACTTAGTGACAAAAGAATTATTACAGATCCTGTTTATTTCCCTACGCCCCATTAAAGTTTAAGATAACGATCACAGTGTGAATAATCCTGTAAAAAACAGAGAACTGAAATGGAATAGATATTATATGCGAAAATGGCACTTTATTACACGTATATCATATCAATAGAAAAATATATAAAGAAGACTTTAATAATACATATTCAATCATGATATTCGAAAATATATTAACTGTTTGTATATATTGCAATGTATACAAATCTATATATCTATATGATCTTTTATATCAACGTTCATGTTTAAGAGGAAGTTATTTTTTCGCTAAGACGAAATCTACGATGTTAATCAGTGTCATTAGAACTTGAATCGCTTTCACTGTCTGTCTCTTGATCGCCCCTCTGCCTTTCCCTGTTAGTATTCACAAAAAGATCCCTGTCGTTATCGTCCCCTGTATCATCCTCTGTCAAGTGGTCGTTCTTTTTTGAATCCTTATCAAATTCCGCGGGCCAACAATTTTGTGTACGATAGGCTTTTATATTATCCTGCAAAATGCAATATTAATATAAGATAAAATTATTGTTTAATACCACAAGGAAGCTCTAATTTTTATTTAATTATGTATCTCGCACGCATTTTTGTTAATATATAAATTAGAGTATTCTCTTATTAGACGAAAGAGAAGAATAGAAAAGAACAATTTCCAAAGAATAATATAGTTAGATATAAATAAATCATAAGGTGACAATTTACATACTTCCGTAAGCCTCTTAATAATTTCGCCCTTGACTTTATCGCCTTCCTCGATGGGATCAGTTAAGACGTAGTCACCCCTCTTGACCCAAATCATTTTTCGATATCTGTTAGGCATTGAGACAAGATACTGTTCTCCAATTGGACTGACAACTTCGTAGAGACGACTGCCGCGTGGTTTGAGGATTCGTACAATACATTGAGAGTCCGTGGGTACACTGAGATCGTCGTAAACGATGTACTTGTTGCGTTTAGTCGCTTTAAACATTGTGATCTGTAAAACTAAATCAAACAAATCGCGACTTTTATGTGTTATCCTTCCTTCCCTTGATTCTTTCGTTGAACATCGTAAAACAAAATTGATTCCACGTTTAAATATATTGATTAACAAAATTAACGTTGTGGTTTTCGTGAACGTGAAGCAATATGGCTTTTAAGTGCATTCCTCGGCGGTCGAGTCCGCTGTCTTAACTTTGCGATCTTTTGCATCGTGCCACCATCCCAACGAGCCACCGGACTTCTCCAGAGCGGCCCACACGTCTAGACTCTCGCCGGGCGGTATATCATATCCGTTCTGCAGCCCGTAAGGATTTGACGGGGTCTTACAGTCGTGAGCGGACTCTTTGCGTAGAACGGTGTCCACTTCCACGGAGGTGAAGAACGCCACTGACATCGGCAGATCCCTCATGCCGACTCTCGAGGCGCAAAACGACCTCGTCAACAGGTTCGTCACGTGCATGGCAAGTGCAGCGTTGTATTTGTACCTGGACGGCACCAGATACCGCACCTCGTCGTGAAACGACAAGCAGAACCTCGCGTTGTCCCGCATCAGCCATCTCATCGAGACTAACATGAGATGAAGGAAGTCGACCGCACCACTCTGCACTACCCAGTTGATCTTCGTGGGCAAGAAGTTGTCATCGTCGCCGGTATTAGTGGTCTCTAGGGCACGACTCAATCTGGAGTTGAGAAACGGCGTGACCGGGTATTCGCTACTGGCAATTTCCTCTAGTCGATTGAACATGGCCGATTCCGAGCCGTCCACCCACTCACTCTTCTGGAACATCTCTTGCAACATTTTACCGTACATCCTCGCTACTTGATACGCCTGAGAAGAGGTATAAGATTTATCCTCTAAGTTATTATCGATGAATTCGGCCTTCAGTCTGAACATCTTCTTGCCCTTAGTGAGAGCGAACATCTTACGCGACTTGGTGGCTGCCTGGGCGTCCGTCATAGACGGATTGAACTGCTTCAGTAGTTGCTCGGCGAACTTCTGACCGGCGCCGTAAATTCTGGCATAATTGATGACTTTGGCGTGATCACGGGAGATGCCGACGGCCTTAGCAGTGACGCTGTGCATGTCGGTGCCGTTGGCCTTGGTGCCGATCAGAGTCATCCAACCGAACGGCGTGGCTCCGTGAAGATTTCCCGTGTGATGGGCGTCGCCGATCATCGACGCGATCCACAGTTCCTGACTGTCCACATCCGCGCCGACGATATTGTAGCCCCGCGGCGCTTGCACCATGGAGCGTAGCTCGGAACCGATGCGTTCCGGAGAAGCGTTCGACGCAGTCATCCACGTACGCTCGACAGCACGTCGCGTCAATGTGCCTGAGACCACCACCTGCGGTATTATCGCGCCGTAATACGCCATACGTCTCTTGAGCTTTTGGACTCCGCTAGGCAGCGAACGATCGTCCAACCAGACCACCAACTGTGACAAGATTCGGTCACGATTGTTCCGCCAATATGACAGCACGCGAGCGTTCTTCAACAGCTCGGTTGCGCTCGAGTCTAAGCCGGCCAGCACATTTTCAGAGAACTTGTTGAGGAAGTCTTTAGATAAGGGATTACCAACGTTCTTGTCCTTGCCGTCTTTGTGCGGCAATTTGAAAAAGTAACAGCAATTATCAATGTCGACGTTGCACCACGCAGCGGTGCCGTTGTATACTTTCTTATACGGCTCCGTCTTCGATTTCTTCTTGAGCCGCCAGAATTCAATTTTATGAAGGTCGTTCTGCACGTCGGCGCTCAGAGTATTCATCGCATCGCCAGAAGTATCCCTGAATTCCTGATTGGACGTTGGCAAAGGACAATGCGCCAAAAGATTCTTCAACGGTATCTTAGTCTTGACATCGGGATCGTTGTTGTAAGGAACCAAGATTCCCCAGCCGTGGTCCTTTATGTAGTGCAGCGGGTATTTTTCCCACGTCAGTTTCAGCAGCTTAGGAACTATTCTCATGGAAGTACTGATTTTTTGCGGGCCTGGTGTCCAATCCTTGTCGCCTCGTTTGGCACAGAGTTTCCCATACCAGGCTGGATATCCCGGCATATGGGGCATTCTAATAGGCAACAAATGCTTGGTCTCTTCTAAATAAGCGAACTCTTTCGCCAAAGGATCCTCTTCTTCTTCCTCGTCGTCCGACAGATACTTCTTTTCGTTCGATTTTGCTATCGCGTGCTTTTTCACACTTCTCTCTGCATCGTCGGGCTTTAGCTTGGATGGTTTCTTCTTCAGTTTGAGCGTCTGCGTGCTCCAATCTTGGTCCCACATCCATAGATCCTCCTTGTATTTCTCACCGTGCATGAGCTGGCAAGCGTCTCTGGCTTTTTGAGCGAGAGTGAATTTCACTTCATAGTTTAAATCGTCGAAGGTACCTTCCGCTTCCTTCAGATATCTCTGCCAATTGAAGTTCACCGGTAAATACGCGGAGCCGAGCTCTAACATTCCAGCAAGAGTAACCGGGTGTGGGAATCTCTCCTGAAAGAGTGGGAATACTTTGGCCAGCACATTGTGAGTGGCGACTGCGTCGGCGGCGCAGTAGGTCATTAACATATTAAAATTATCCTTAACGTCTTGAAGAGTACCTTCAACAAATATCTCTCTTAATTGCTTACTTATCTCGTAGCCACAGTACAACTTATGTACTTCTGCCAAGCTGTTTAGAGAGGTCATAGATTGCCAATCATTTTTTTCAGAATTCTCTTTATTAGACATTAACAGCGATCTTTGATAGCTGTTTAAGCCACTAATGCATACATGTAACGACATGGTGTCGAGGAAACGAGTTCCTGTACAATTCATCCAATACTGCTCCTTGATTCTACTTCTGTCATATGATACATTGTGACCTACAATAATCTTTGGTTTCTTTTGGTGCTGATTCAGCTTCTGTCCATACTCCTCTTTGCTACTTTCCATAGGAATAAACATATCCTCTTTATACAACTGTGTATCGAAGGTCTGATCAGTATCTGTCATGTAAGGCCAAGGAACTCGACCCTCTACCAAGGAATTTGACACCCAACCATACCAAGCCTTATCACTGACAGCAGTAGCAAGAGTAGGCAAAGGACCATGTTTCATACACACTTCAACATCAAAAATCACACCATCCTCTAGTGGATAATTTACACTTTCCGCACCATCCGCTGTATATCTGGTCCATCCTTCTTTGAAAAGCCATTTCTCTGGCATCTTGGGAATATCCTTTATTATCTTGTTTATGATTTTCAGGTAAGGCTTAATTTGTGCTTTCCCGATATTATAAAAATGTTCCTCCACATCTTTTCCTTCCAGAGTTGGTAATTTTAAGTTTACATCCGGTAATCTAGTTGCATCCTTTACATTTATGCCATATATACTTAAGTGTTTTTTTATATTGTTGATTTCTTCCTCGGACAATTGTTTTTGCTTGTTATCCTTCCCAAATAATTGTTCATGCATCAATTTAGGTAACATCTGCATATTTATTTCGTTGACTCTAACATTATTTTTTATTAGATTAGTATCGAATTCAACATTTTTGCTAGTTTCTGATTCTTTCAATTGCTGCGTTTGTGTCTCAATTCTTTCCTTTTCCATGGATTCTAGATTTGAATTTACATTTTTGTTTACTTTTGACTCTTTGAATGTTCGAACGTTAACATCAAAATTACTTAATACTCTTTCAGACTTTGACAATTTATAGAAGCCATTTTCAAAATTGTTGGGTATTGTTGGCGTATTACAAATAGAATCGGTTACATTATTGTCGTTTTTAGAGGTTAGGTTTTTCTGATTGATATCCAAACTTTTAACATTTTTCACACGCACCTTCTTCCACCGAGTCTTCTTGCACTTAATAATGTCGTTCTGTATATCCGTGCACTTGTGTCTGATACAAATATTAATCAAACGAATCTTCAGACTCATTTTATTGCTTCACGTTTCCTTCTCGAAAACCACACGTAGAATTGATAAACACGTGCCTACAACTTTTGAAACAAAACATACCATAAAAAGATACTTTAACAATTTTAACAGAAAATGGAATCTTACCTAATTTTATACTAAAATTAATAAAATTCCGTTTTATTCAAGAGAATTATTATTAATCCTTAGTAAACTCCATAAAATTGTTTTGGTTCAATAATTGGTCTGTTCTTTTCAACTAACTGCTGAACTGGTGCAATAAGTTAGAGTGAGAAAAACTATACTTGTCTCACTTTAACTTATTGCGCTAGTCAGCAGTGCAGCTATAAAGAACAGACCACTGATCGAATGTGAGAATAGTCGGGTGTATATCAGTTGGACACGGGGCAATTGGACACAGTCCAATCACAAGTCGCTGTTCCAAGGGACCCTACAAATGTCTCTAATCATACGGTGCTGTGATTGACTGTGTCCAAATGCACCGTGTCCAAGTGCACCGCTCCCAGAATAGTCGACTGTGGTTGCTTTCCAACAAGAGACACAAGTCGACACAAGTATCATCCTATCTTTGTTACTCACTAAATGTGGAACAAAGATAGAATGATGTTTGTGTCGACTTGTGTCTCTTGTTGGAAAGCAACCTGTGATTGATCAATTTTTTTAAGCTTAGGACTTAATAGAGGATTTACACAGCATCCGACATTCAATGTCGATATCCAATAGGAGACTTCACTTTTTAGGGTTACTAGCTAGAAATATTATTGTCTCCACAAAACAAATTCTATTGATTTCAAAAAACAAATTCTATTTCTATTGGATATCGGATATCATGCGTCAATGTTTATGCGATGTGAATGCTCCATTAGCATCACAATGTTTTATCACATGAAGGATAGAGTTCCGGTCTAACCGCCGTTACGTCTAGGCGTGTCCGAACAAGTTTTTTGGAACTTGTACTTCGGTACCTTGGCAGGAAGTCTGAGCTATTTGAGAAAGTCTGCAAGTCAAGTAAAATATAGAGAAGAAAAAGAAGAACATAAAGGATAGGGTCCGTTTAGCGCTGCAAATGCTTCAGAGTGACGGATACTCCAATCATATTGACTTATTTGACATTCTGGAGCATGTGGAATGTCAAGCAGACTTTGCTGGCTCAGTATTTTGTCTGACAGTTTAATATTTGGAGTAAATGTTTGACATGTATGAAACATAAAATTAAAAAATAAACTACAGCTTACATACGACATTAAATTAATAAATAAAAGTATAATTTTGGTTTTTAATGTAATATAGGCTGCGTTCCGTTTCACGCATATGCGCGCATTTATCTATAGTTAATGTTACACATATTGTAGGCAATGCGCGCATAATGCGTGAAACGGAACGCAACCATAGTCATAGTACACGAATATATGTAGATACGAAGTGCAAGATCCGAATACGTTCTAGACTTTATATATTGAAAACTTCTGATGTCGAGTGTACATCGATCCCCCAGTCCGGTGACATGACTGCGACATCTTCTCGGCGTCCGCCAGTTTATTGTGTTCATCATGGCTTCGACGGGTTAGTGATCGTCGTGAAATTGATGTTTCATTTGTATTTTAATTTATTTACGCGACGACAGTGAATTATATTATAAGCGAGTGATTTTATATTTCACGTCTAATAAGTTCTGTACGATTTATCACACCGACAAAATTTTATTTCACACCTTGCCGCGCGCTTAATTACTTTGACTTTTGCCGTCGCCGCTGTTTAGATCCATTCGTAATGTGTGTGCAGGCGTGTCTGCAAGTTATTGAGAAACTTTTATTGCTTCTTTTTAGAATCTCTGGTGTGCGACACTCTCGATCTGAGCGGTCAGAGTCTCAAGAAGCTCAGCCGGTGCCCTTCAGATGCTGATATTAGTACATTGATTATAGATGATAATGATTTACAACGACTTGACAATTTGGATTCTTATCATAGAATTACCAAGGTAATAACAGATTCATGTGAGAAGTATTCTTTATATAAGAATATATAAAGAATGCAGAGTTTCTTAGTAAAATATAGCAAGTTTTTTTTATATTTAAAGCTGTTTTCTTATACCAAAGAAAGAATTAAAAACTATATATTTTGTATAAGTTTTAATATATACAGATTTTAATACATAAACATAATAAAATTTCATTTACAATTTTATGTAATGCTATTGTTGTAAGTATATATTTGCGTATCAAAAGTATGTTCTATATAATTCTAATGGTTTTAGCTTTCAATAGTCAGGAATCAATTGCTGCGGATGTACGGTGTATCCAAGTTACATAATCTTGTTACCCTCAATCTGGCCAACAATGGCATACTTACAATAGAAGGTATCAAGGACATGACTAATTTGCAAACGCTGTGTTTAGCAGGAAACAATATCAAGGTATGGTTTAATATTTGTAGTAATTTATTTTTACAATTTTATAGTAAGTTATTGCATAATGTTGTATTACAGTCTATTGAACATCTACACACAAATACAAAGTTGGAGCATCTGGATTTGTCGGAGAATAGTATCAGCCATATTTCAGACATCTCTTATTTACGAAATTTGAAGGTATATTATCATAATTGTTCAATAATGTGCGAAATTCTCACATAGTTGAGTGCTGGGTTGATATGATGCTTTGTTTAACACATTAAGTAAAACTACAAGCATTGTGTCTGTTCTCATGAGATGAACAATGTTTTAGGAACTCTTTCTGCATAACAATCGCATAATAACGCTGCGTCAATGCGAGCGCTACTTGCCTACATCTCTCGAAACATTCACACTGGCAAATAACAATATCACCGATTTGAATGAAATGTCACACTTGGCTAATCTCAAGAATGTGGTGAATTTCTCAATTGCTAACAATCCGTGTGTCAGTATAACAGGTAACAGTATGTATCCTTTTTGTAAATTACATTTTTTATCACTCCATCTAGAAATTAGCCAAATCTATCGATGTTGTTTTTAATATTATAATCATAGCTGCGGAGAGTAATTCTATCATTATATTGACGTGATATCATAGCGTTCTACTTTGTAAACACCATAATTGGTAACTTTTATTAATTTAATATTTGCTTCCACACTCACATAAAGACATTAGCTTATATTAACCATAGTGTTGTTACGATAGTATATCATTCTTAACACATAGTTTATAGTGGGTTTGACTACCGGCCCTTCGTTATTAATTGGTGTATGAGCTTAAAATCGATTGACGGTTATGCGGTCGATCCTATCGAAAGGTGGGTCTCTCAATTATCTTTCTTACGCAATTGATATTGTGTGAAAATTAATTCGCTGTGAAGCACTGGATCGAAACTTATTGGCAATAACGTTCACTCAGCTTGAAAGCAGAGTGGCTGTATTCTCAGGGACGAGGTAGACAATTCCGCGTCGGTGAACACGCATTGCTCGCTCAATACCTAGCATCTGTTTGCCCGCTCTCGGGAGAGTCCTTAGAAAATGAGACGGACAGGAAGCTTAGACTCATACTGAGCAAAGCTCAGCACCACCAACAGCAATTGAATCAACAGAGCGATGCCGGGAGCGTGCACAGTTTGAGTAGCGTGGCGATGAGCCCTTCCCCAGCCGCTAGACGTAGACTTAGCCATAACAGGACAAATTCTCCCAGACGACCTAGTGAGTCTAATAAATCCGTCACTGTTGCATACCGTAGTCTCATACCGATATACTCGGAAATGTGTTTTGTCGCAGACTCTTAGAACTCGATTTATTCGTAGTCGCGAGAAGTGGACTAGTAGTGATCTAGATTTTCCAGTCGTCAGTCCGGTATACACACCCTAGTTATGATCTGTTTTCTCTAGTGCCAATGTTGACATACTATGAAGATAAATGCTTACAGTCACCAAAATTTTATGAAGCAAAGTACTGTGTCTGCTATTCCCCTTGCAAAGGTATCCAAAAAGTCAAACTGAGGATTTATTGTATTATTGAGTAAAACTATACAGAGTAGGAATGTGCGAGAATCTAAGGGCAATTTTGTAGCTTTCAATGTGTTTGTTAGGCAACAACTAAAAATCTCCAGACTCAAATGAATGATTAGTGAAATTGTCATAATAAGTTCAACGGCATAAAGAAATATACACATCGCTCTCTTACAAATATTAATTACATATACGATATTTGTCGTAATGTTACGTCTTCATTGCTAGTCCGTTTCACCCTGTATCTCATATTTAACAAATATCAATTATTCACAACAAAATTGAAACGTCGGAGAACCAATTGGTTTAGATTCATGCACATGCCTATACCTCTCATGCATAGTACTTTCTGAGCAGCCGCTTCTTTAGGCTTATAGTGCAAACATTGGCCGATGAAAGAAAAGGGAGTAAAAGAAGTCTTGTTACAGAGTTGCTACTTAGAAAATTTGGTTGGCGTATTAGTGTTGGACGATTCGGAAAGACCTTCACACATAGTTCACATCTTTTGGTTGAATAGCGTATAATTTCGATTAGTAGTCTACATATCATTTGCATGCTTGCGCTAGCGAGTGCTAGCGTCAGAGACAGTCCCAAGCACAAGATGAATTGCGTACAAATGATAGTCGTCGAGCGATAGACGTTAATTACAGTACCGAACGATGTTTCGTCAGGTTCCTCGAGGAATTTGAAAATGAAATCGCCGGACCGGATGGTATCCAGCTGTCATACCGATGCTATGGTCTCGTCGTGTCATGCGTTGTTGAGCGGTGATCACGACTCCAACCTGATGACTCAAAGTTTGGATCCTAACATGCTTTGCGGTACGTTGAGCACCAAGATGGCGAATAACTCTTTGCAAGATATGGAAGGTAAAACAATAATATTAATCAGGTTAAAATTTCTGTCTTAGTTTTACTGTGTATTATGATGATGATAAAATTCCCTGTGCAGAAACATCGAGCCCTTTGCAAGCAGCTACGAAACTGGTGCCGGTACCGGAGTCTCTGATGAGTCCGGACTTTCGGCCACCCTCTGGCCTTTCGCGGATCTTGCCCAAGACACCGCCGAGCAAACTAAGCTCCCCGTGTCAGATCACGATACCCAGCAAGCCGTCTCTAGACGGTGACGGAAAGGCGATACCGATCATAAACACCGTGAATCCTATGGCGAAAACGAATCTGAGCGCTATTAAAGCGAATGCGCTCATGAAGAGCAATTCAGCGAGCAATTGTAGTAACGTCATGAAGGCGAATATAGCCAAACCGATCGTGACATACGCTAACAGCAGCAAGTGCCCGCACAGCGTGAAAATCAATAATTACGTTCAAAGTAAAACGTTACCCAAGAGGAATATGAAGGGCTCTAATCTGGTCAGGATTATACAACGACCGAAAAGCGCGAGCGAGAGGATCAAGAGTAATTTGAATAAGGGAGATAAAGACGGGGACGCCGATAACGGTACCCAGAGTAGCGACGAGGATAGCGAAGTGTGTCAAGCAAAATTGGACAGCATTCGCCACAGAGCCATTCAAAGAAGACAAGAAGACAGCAATAAAGGTAAGATGTGATGTTAAAGCTTTAAGAAGTTGCGGTCATTAACGGACTCTTCTCACCAACAGATCAAGATCAAGCGGAAAAGGCTGCTATTTGCATTCAAAGAATGTGGCGAGGCTATCATACAAGAAACCTTAATAGCAAAGCTACTAGCATATTAAAAACAATCGATATGATAAGAACAAATAAGTATATCCAGTAAGCCTGCACTCTTTATTTATAGCGCTTGGTTCTCTATGAATAGACAGATTACTCGTGGAACAAGTCATACATGTGAAATATTTTATAGGAAATTATCGACTGACATGGAGGCTACGAGAACTGCTTTGGAAAGTGAGCACAAATTACAATTATTGCAAATGCAAGCGATTAATGCGTTGTGGAAAAAAGTCGTTAGTCTCCAACCGGGCAGCAATCGAGAAAATGCCTTTAATGATACGGACAATGTTGTGCAACCCAATACGGACGTGGTTACTAATCTCGCACAAACGTGCAACTTACTTCACACTCAGGTGCGTTTTTAGAAGTGCACAATTGTAGTATACTCTGCAGGATTTATCTTTGTGTTTCCAGTTGATGATTTCATTGTGATGATTTTCTTTTCCTTTATCAGGTCCAGCAATTGCAAGATTCGATGTCCGAGATAAAACGTTGCATGTCCAACATGAAACCGAAGCACGCTCTTGTTGAAAGCGGCGTGGCTACTCAAACCGAGATATCCGCCGTGCATACGCCGGCAGGCGAAGAGAACACATTCCCTTATGGACGTCCTAACAGACCGCAGAGTCTACCGATACACCAGACGATACACGAGGGAAACGAGAACAAGAGCTTCGCGTCCAACTTGGTGGACAGCGTGCTGAAAAAGGTCTCGCAGTCCACCGACACGACGGATGACGAGGTCAATACGGATATTTTAAATTCGAATGAGAATCCGGAGGCGTTGAATTCGACCGAACATCCTGAAATGTTCAAGAGCTGCGAAGAAATAATAGAATCTGACTTCAAAGAGGCGGTTGAGAACGAGGCGACGGGAGACTACGAAAACATCATCGAAAACACAGCGATAGACGGTGAAGTATGTGAGGAGGCGTTGTGCAAGGAACTGCACAACCTGATCGAGACGGAAAATGTAGTTGAGAACTATGAGAACTGCGAGAAGAATAACGAAATCAACGGGGACGACCAGCAAGCCTGTTAGACTTTAACTAACGAATCGAGTTCGCAAAAACCATATGCCTTGTGAGTAACACAATCACGATAAGACGGTAAAATGCGAAGGGAGAGATGGATGTCTAAAAATGCTCACTGTAAATAACGTCAAAAAGAAGTAATTTTAGTCGTAACGATATTAGAGAAACTGTATTAATTTTAATCGTGAACCATTTTGTTACGAAAAGAATATTTTCATCACAAATAATAAGCTGCCATTCTGTCCGAACATAATGTCCGCGTAATTTAAATAAGAAGAGAAAAAGAGATTTACTGGAACGAAGTTATATGTCAATGACTGTGAGGCATCTAAACCATTTTGCGCAACTCTTTGTTATGTTATATGGTAAACTGTATACTTTCATCTCATTAATAAGAAATTCCGGGAATTTCCGTCCATACGTCCGGTTGTCGGCAATAGAGCGAAACCTGTGTCATCCACGTGAAGCATAGCATGTATTTTACTGAACTGATCGTTGGAGAATTGTTCCGCAAATTTTAGCCACTGCTCCTCGACATGATTTCTCATCACTGGAAAACTACATCTTATATCCTGCAGAAGGCTGGTTAACGTTAATTCTCAGATCAAAATATCTGCACAAGGAGATACATATTTATTATTCGTAAGATATATTTGCAATACCTCCTTAATTTTTAGTTCTTTCGATATAATACTTTACATATATGTTTGATAATTATTTATTTATTTATTTATCTATATGGGAAAGAAAGATTAGTTTTAATAGATATCGAAGATGTTGAAGTATTAGGAAAGATACCAGAGGTACGATCTAGTCAATAGCTTTTACATTTAGGTACACTGTAGATATTTACTAGAGGATTGTTATGTAGATATTACTCAACTTTATGAAATAAACATTGTGAGAGACTTTCATTAAAAGTATGCAAAGTACACCGTTAAAAAGCACGATTTAAATCACATTGGAAAAAAAATCGTGACGGCGTTTCTGTAACTATTGATTATCGATATTTGCGTGCGACAAATAAGTGTTGAATGAATAATTTAATAATCTATAAATACATACACGCGAGCTTACTGAATTGACACATCGGCTGCAGCATATTCTACTACTAGTAGTATTTAAATGCCTGAAGTTTTTTAATAATTCAGGATGTGTCAGTGAACTGCGAGATAAACATTCCGTGCGTGTCTAACGTAACTTTCAAGACATTCATGTAGTAATGTTTGCTTTAATCGGAGGATTCGCTTAAGCTTAAATTTATATTCTTCATTCTTATAATTTTTAGAAGGACACATGCGACCGTGATATAAACCAAAATAATTATAGCTAATAACAGAAACTACGGGTTGGATAGACTCATTCGTAAAACAAGAATGCAGAGACATATTCGCAATATTGTATTTATTTTACATTCCCTAGCTACCCGCAATTTATACAGTCTCGTGTGTTATTCAGGATAGTATACGTCGATTATTACATATTTACATTGTATTTTAATTTGTTTTAAGAAAATATATACACAGCATGTTATATATACTAGTGTGTGTGTGTATATATATATATATATATATACACACACTATATTATATATATATATATATATATAAAATTATTTTCTCTATTTCTCTTATCTTCCCAGAATATTTTTAATTTTTCTCACTTAATATTAAAAAATTTGTATTGTTTAAATATAAAAATTTGTAATTTTATATCACGTTAATAAGTACTGAAACATAATATATTTGCTTATTTGAATATAAAAAAATAGTACTCATATGATCGTGTTAAATTGATGAGAAAGTTGATTTGTTCTTTACCCAATATAGCTTTTTACCTAATAAATATAACTTTACCCAATATGTCAATAAAAAAGCGCATAGATTTCTTCATCAATCTAATACATACATTGATTTATCTTTAAATAAGTGAAAGTGATTATTAATGTAATATTATATATATATAAAACAATGTCATAATCTGTAATCTCTTTAAGAAGCAATTTCATTGTTTGAACATTCTTTGACACGTCGCTTTTTCAGTTATTAAATAAGAATTTATAATCTTTTTTACTTTATTTATTTCCTGAATGATATCCTTGTTATTAGGGCATTCCAGGAGTGCTTGTTGCAAATCTGCTAAGCCTAATCCATATTCATTTATGCCGATATAAGCTTGCCCTCTTCGAAATAATGCTTTGCTATTAGCTTTGTCCAATTCTAAGACCTGAATTAAATTGTGCATTAAGGTGAAGAAATAAATTGACATTTTTATTTCAATATTTACTCACGTCATTACAATGTTCCATCGCATCGCGATAATACTGCTTCTTTAATTTTACAGCAGCCATATTAAGTAATATGATCATCTTAAGGTCTGGCAGTGTGCTGTCAGGTATATCTGACAAGTCTTTCTGCTTTGTCATCCAATCGTAATATCGCAATGCTTTCTTATACTTTCTACCAGCATCCACAAAATTTTTTCTTGAGAAATAATGGTTTCCAGAGTCCTTTATTTTTCTTATGACTTCTTTCATGTATTTATGCTACAAATATGAATGCATTCAAAATACAATATAACTTTTCAATATTTAATGAAATAAGTGAAATAAGAAAACTGACTTACACTAAGTTTGTCGATATAAGAAGAATAATCCCAATCTTCAGGCCATGGTGTATAAACATCATCAGATCCATCATTTTCTTCCATTCCCCAGCTTTCATATCCTTTCAGTTCTCCGCAATTGACTATCTGTACTTTCTAAACAAACCCATTATCCAACTGAATAATCATTGCAGCACAAAGAAACTATTAATCTTTTGTATTAGAGATACATCGTCTCACATCAACTGGAGCATCCTTCACAGTCCGCACTTTATTGAGCTCCATCACTACACCCATGCCTTTAACAACTTTCCCGAACACTACATTAGTGTCATCCAAGTGGAAGCAAGGTACAGAAGTGATAATAAATTGAGAACTATTGGTGTTTGGCTTTCCCTCATTCACCATACTAAGCAACCCTGCAGATGTATGTTTCAATTGAAAGTTCTCATCCTCAAAGTAAGGACCGTAGATACTCTCTCCACTGGTGCCATCAAAATTGACAATGTCTCCACTCTGGATCATAAACTGTGGTATGACTGCAGCAAATGATGTGGAACAAATGATACATTAATCTAATACTCAAGTGCAATCGAAAAGGATTGTGCAGTAGAAAAATATACGCACCTTTGTGGAAAATACATCCTTTGTAGTGTAATTTCTTGGCGTTCACTCCAGTGCCCTTTTCGCCAGTGCATAGTGCGCGAAAATTTTCCGCAGCCCGTGGAACAATATCCTTGAACAATTCTATGACGATTCTGCCTACTAAATAACAATGACAGGATCATGATTCTCGATATTTCGCCGCAAAAGTATTTGCTTTGGGATACGCTTGGGCAAAATACCTTTCTCGGGCCCGACAACAACATCCAGAAAAACTATAGGATTCTTATTAGAAATATCACTTTCACTATTAAAGGGACGCTTCATGTTTTTCTCAGTTACTCTACTTCATACAGTAATCGTGTTTACACTCCACTTGTAGAATCAATTCGTATGTTTGACGATAATAGGATTTTCGTAGGATCTTTTATTAGTAAATGTGGAGATGACGTCTATTCGATCCACACTGTTCAACTGCGTTAACTGTAAGTCCGTTCCTTTTAGTTGGAATGAGACAATATTGCAATGGAATTAAAACGCAAAATCGTACATATGCAAGAATACAGGAAAATAAAAAGCGCGTAATGGAGCAAGGTAACATAATTTTTTTTGTCATGGAAGATTTTTACTACGTTATATATATTTATAACTGTAAATTTTATATAAATCACGCATAAAAATAAGAGGAACACTTTCCTAAAATAACTTTTTTACAATACAAGCCGAAAGATTATTTTAGTTTCAACATTTAATAACTCGATAAAAAGAAATAATATCACACTCAAGTACGTATATTAAAGAGAAGATCCGCTTTCAAATAGTATAAATATCATTTACGCGTGTGACGTTTCTTTTATACGCTACAATTCAACAAACTTTATAAAACTTTTTTTGACTTACTTATTTAACTTTGACTTACCTTACGTTTTTTTTATGAAATTTATCAAATTGTATTGCATAAATAAAACAATGCATATAAACACAGTTAACGGAATTTGAAAGCGCAAACTTTTTCTTTTAACCTGCGGTGCTACTTTCTTTACAAACAAAGTTATTTAATTTAAAGGAGAAAATAATCTTTCGACTTTCCCAGACAGCACAGACATCCAAAAGACGTTCTAAAAACATCATAAAAATGTCCTTACGTCCTAAGTACGTCCAAAGTACATCCTTTGGATGTACATGTGCTGTTTAGGTTGTTCGCTTACAGAAGAAAAATGAATAAGTGTAAAATTATAATATCAATATGGTTGTAAACTAGAGATTTCAAAGTGCAAAATTCTTTTAGAACCGTATCAATATTGCTGTATCAATATCGCTATTGAGTTGCATCACGATCTTAATTCTTCATTCGGAAGTAGCGCCTTGCAACGGAGATATTAATTTAGAGATCCTGTAATAAAAGATCGGACACCATATGTCAAGATTCTGATTGGCTGCGCCATGTTTGGGATACGCTTCCGGTTAGGAGCTGAGCACAAAGTTGTCGCAATCGTTTCCGACAGTGTCGTAGACGTAATTCGATGTCGGAAGTCAACGCACAAGGATTGGCGTAGCATATGCTGTATCAAATATGATTAGACGACACAATTGATGCAGCATACGTCTACGTCAATCCTTATGCGTTGACTTCCGACACCGAATTACGTCTACGACACTGTCGGAAACGATTGCGACAATCTTTGTGCTCAGACCCTTAGAATCATTAGCTGAATGACAACACAAGTAGTGGTCTGTTCTTTTCAACTGCACCGGCTGCACTGCTGAACTGGTATAATAAGTTAAAGTGAGATAAGTATACTTCCGGTTTGGACCCAAACATGGCGAATCTAGTATCTACAGGCGACGGTGTCCTATCTCTTATTAAAGGATCTCTAGCTACAAAGCATTTGCAGCGCCCACTAGACCATACTAGCTCTGGCTATTGAAATTAGGCTAGTGGCTGCTCTCATGCTTTTCTCTGCGTCAGTGCAGAATAATGGATCTACAAATTTCTTATGCAGGATTTATGCAGGATTCACACCGCGTCCAAAATTCGATATACAACGTCCAATATCCAATAAGAGAACAGCTTTCTATTAGAGAATTCAATTCTCCATTGGAAAACTGTTTTCCTATTGGATATCGGACGTCGTATGTCGGAGATCGGACGCGATGTGAATCCTGCATTAGGCCTTATTGGCGTGCAAAAATAAAGGCAGTATCTGTTTGATACTTCAAATGTTTTAAAGCGTTATATAAACCACTATAATTGACCTATCCGTTGCTTCGAAGCATTTGCAGCGCTAAATGGATCCTATAATGTCATGTTATTTTATCTTAAAAAAGATCTATGAACAAAATTCAATGGGCTCTAACTGCAAAATAATAATATCAAAAAACATTTTGCAGCTTGAAGTCTAATTTACATCATATTAATATTATAATTTCATCATAGTTAAGATACATGGTATTATATGAAAAATGGCAACCGTTCAATTTCCAATCTCATCTTTCAGTTGAATTTTTACATCGTAACATTATTTTTATCAAAGATACAATAAATGCATTTTAAAGAGGAAATTTTAAGCTTTTCATCTGTTCGTTAATAAACATCGTACACTGGCCCGTTTGTCTTCTATGAACAATCAAAGTCGGAAGACCATATTCCTTTTAATGTTAAATAAAATTCGACAAAAGAAAATAGCACGATAAACTTGTATTCTAGTTAATGGAGACAATATTTTTTTTTATATGCTATTGATTGAGTTTATATACGATGTTTTTTGTACGCAGTGCAATCTGACGAAGTTCATGAAGAATTCTTTAACTGAAAATATTTTTAACTAATCATTTCGTGTCATATGAAGAATTGAGACATTCCAATGAAATACCTATCACTTGTGCCGATTTGAAAATAGATAATAACATAATAAAAATATGCATATATTTGTGTAACAAAAGATAAGGTCCCACCGAGATTTGAACTCGGATCGCTGGATTCAGAGTCCAGAGTGCTAACCATTACACCATGGGACCTCTTGCAGAACAATGCGATAGATAATGCACATGCAGTGCTGAGATTTCTCGGTGATTTTGCGCAATTTCAAAACACCGATACGCCGAATCCATAATCTTATCGACGACAAGAATTATCGGCTTAACATATAACAACGAAACAATAACAAACACTTTTTCGATGGTAGATAAAAATTTATTTATTTGATGCATTTGTAAAATGTTCGTTGGAAAATATGTTGTGCGTAAATTGTACGTGTATAACATGTACAAACGTTTTTATGTAAAGCGTTTAACGTGCACTAGGAACCCATATCGGTGTTCTCGTATTCAACACTACACTAAAACAGAGTGAAGGGGGTAAACGTAAAATACCGAGTTTTTCGTTTTATCGTTGTAATAAGTATAACAATAAAATGTGTCTCACAGAATAACATATAACGCACATATCGCTTTGTTATATAATAAAATTTTAATACATATATATATTTATTTATATTTTTTTTTAACTTATTTCTCTCTCGGAATTCCGTAAGAGAGTGAATTCTCTTACTATGTATATATATATATATAATATATATATTTATATATATAAATTATGATACTCTATATAAACAAGCAGATATATCAATACACTTATATATAGTCAAATATCTAGAAGCTCCTCTCTAGCACTAGAATGTATATTATATACTATCAGAACTTTTGTCCTTCATTATACACTTATATCTGGAAATAAACGAATCTAATATATTGTATAACCATACGATTCATTTTGACTTTTTGAATATACGCAAATTGCATAATTTTACGCGCCTAACATACATGCGCAATCCGCACCCAAGCGAACAATGCATAAATGAATAAGATCATTTCGGTTTAAAGCATTGTTCGTATTATTTTGAGCAATAAAAATGTACATTTTATGTATTATTTTCCCCGTAGCATATCTCGTGACATCACATGAAATTATACTTGTTTATGTGTCAATATGATGAGTGTGTATTAAGTATGTGTGAAAAACTGTATTTAAATTTTATCTCTTTGTGTAAGCTGCATCTCCTTTATTCTTTCTCTTTCCCATTATTTTTGTTTTACGTAGTGAATTTGGCAAAAACAGTTTTGAAAATCTGACTCTTTGTTTGCTATATAGATACGATATGATAGAGACATTATATATGATCCCCTCTCTCTCTCTCTCTCTTGCGCTCTCTTTCTTAAGGATGTTGATTACATATATAATACAAATATAACCTCACATAGAAATGCTTGCTCTAAAGCCAAGTTGAATAAAGGTGCAGATATATATTTACTGGTTTTTTTAATAGAAAAAAAGTAAACGTTCCTGTGCGCTGCCAGACAATAGTCCCCACCCACGTTTGATGTTCAGATATTGGATGATGGCACGTATGCAAATTAGAATACCTGAAATAAGCGCGGTCACGTTACTTAATTAGAAATCCTCGTGTAATTATGACACTACAATAAATATGCATATTCCAAATATCTACAGATATATAGAATAAACTGAGCATTCCCTCTGGAGCACTGAAACCAAGATCGAAGCAAATGTTTTCTCTACACAGAGACACAGAACTCTAGAAAAGAGCATGCTACAAGGGAGAGTGTGCGCGCGCTAATATGGTATATCTTTTGACTACATCCTCAAAGGATATATCACATTCTTTATTTTATAACTAATCCAACCCTAACAGCACAGATGTCCAGGGGACATCCAGAGAACATGCTGAGGAAGTCCTGAGGACATTTCTTCGTCCTCAGGAGATTTTGTGCTGTCTGGGAATAACCATATATGATTACTTCTTTTTCCTTCTTCCTACTAATTACACAATTAGACAAGGAAAGCATCTCAGTCTCTATTGCTCTCTTTTATTAATGACAGCCTCAATTCTCCAATGGGAGTGTTCAACCTATTCTATTCTATATGTCTGTCATTAAATATCATACAAACCAAATGCCATTATTAACCACCACAACCATGAGTTCTCTCGTGAAGCAAGATCAGTGGAGTGTTTGACAATGAGCGTCCATTTTGTCAGGGATAATCCAAAGCCAGCTAGCGCGCCGTAACGAGAGGCGATAGTGTGACAGAAACACATCAGCAGCAAAAACCCAATCCAGTTAAAGAGGAATGCAACTGTAAAAAAAATTAATACAAATAACTGTCGCCATGAAAATACATATAGCATTGCTTGTAGATAATAAATGTTTACCAAGAAACGCTGTAAAGAACATGAAATCCGTGCCAAGTAGTCCACTTTCAGGATCTCCATCTGCAGCCTCAGTATCTATAGCCAGTATTGTCAGAGGTTGCTGTGGTGCTCTGACATTCCCCAGCTGCAAAATGTTTGACAATAAATCATAATCTATCCAAGAGACAAATGTACACTGAAATTTCTTCAATTTAAAGAGCTCATTTTTAGAATAAACTATCTAAGAAATAAAACTGCTATTTTTTAAATAGTTTAGCTTAAAAATATTTTACTTTATTTTAAAAATAGAGTTAATTTGTAAAATTTAAAAAGTTTAATTCAAAGTTGAAAGAAATAGTTAATTACAATCAGATACCATATGTATTTGGGGATGAGGTTCACCCTGCAGGTTTTTCTCACGCTGCACCTCTTCATAACTAGGTAATTTTGTGGCTACTTCATAGGGTGGTGGTGCAGAAAAATCTAGTTTTGGAGGTGGGATATCCTCTCCGTCGACCTAAGTAATTTTATCCAGTCAATTTTTCATCAAATCTTTATGCTAACTCGTACTATGATATCTATTTTTACCATATTTATTACCATCCGATTTGCAGTCATAGCCTGTGCACCAGTAGAGCAGCCAGAATGACCGAGCATATCAGCCTGCATGATCGGCATAGCCACGGTGAGTGTAGGAATTTCGTTATTGCGCGACGCTTCGCCGCTGGTATCCGCACTTGTTTGAGGCGGCTGAGAAGGGAGTGCAGATTTTTAACAGACAATACATAGAATTTGCGAAGTCGTTGTCGAAAAACAGGCCTCTCTTGACATAAAAATGCACATGTTTCCTTAAATCGCGAACGATAAGACCGTTGGTTAACAGGAAGCGAAATAAAAAAAAAAAAAAAAAAAA